ACACACACACACACACACACACACACACACACACTTTTTTTCTCTGAGATCTTCGCCAGGAGGCTCTTTGCATTCCACCACCACCAATTTTGTCATTTAGAGTTTGATCCCAAAGGAGAGAGGTTTTGCCACAGGACTGAAAGCAACTCTGCCGTTTCGGTCCACGAGACATTGCTGTCAATGCAGGAGAAAGCGGCGGCTTTCCATCCACCTTAGAAGGTAGACTTTGTCATCGACCTGCAGAGTCGGGAACTTCCAGTATGCCGGGTGGGAATGCCCTGAAAGCCACAAATCCGGAAAAAGAGGAGGGAACCGCGCCAAGCAAGGGCTGTCGTCCCGGTGTTGAGCAATGAGTGGAGAGGAGAAAGGGAGACAAGCACCTGAGCTCAGCAAAGTCCCGACGCCTCTTTTCACCCCAGGTAGCTCAGCCGCCCTCTCTCTCTTCCTCTCCGCCTACCACGGATTCAGCTTTGGGCACCATGAGCTCTCCCCAGGAGCGACCGAGGCTTGGGGGTGGTGCTGGAGCCGTGGCTGCCACAGCAAAGCGCTCTCATGCTTCCCAAAGTTGAATCGAGACGGCAGAGAAGGCGTGGCCGCTCCTGGCCGCGGGTTTTTGCTCCCAGAATGCTGGACTTTTTTCCCTGTCCGCCGTTTCCACAGCAACGCACCTGGCTCGGGAGCAAGGAGGGGGTTGCAACGAATTCTGCGAGGCAACCTGGAGGCCCCGCCAGGGACCTCTCAGGAGAGGATTACGCGGGGTTATGATGTTTCCCTAGCCTGGTCACCAAGCAAGGGAGAGAAAGGAGAGATGGCACCCGGCCCGGGGTGAGGGGCAGGAGGACCAAATAGCGTCCTTGAGATCCTGGTCTAAGCAGGGTGAGCTCCCAATACTGTACCTGTGGAGTGGTTTGCGCCTGGGGAAATTCAGTGGGGGAAGACTCCTGAAGGTAAAAATGGCAGTTGGGGCTCCCTGGTTGCTCCTGAGTTCCAAAAGGGCCTTGGGTTCCTAACTGCTGCTAACTGGCAGCCATTATTATTCACTTATTCATTATGTATTTGAAAAATGTGAGGTCTTTGCAAACCAACACCCCCTGCCCCCCAAGATGGTCCACTAAGTGCCAGGATTACTTCTTGGGTGGAGGCATTTGGCATACTCTTTCCTGCAGAATAGGAACCAAAGGAAATGGTAAGTTGGCAACTTTTTCCAGAACAGCCCCAGTGCACAGAAACTAAATAGACATTGTTCTTCTGACAGAGAGGTGGTGGGTTCAAGTCCACCCTCAGCTCTGGAAGGTGACTTTGGGCCAGTCACTGTCAGGTCAACCTGTAGCCTTAAGGGAGGTAATGCAGCAGCCATTATGAAAACATCCCCTGAAAGACAGGTGGAGTGAGGATGAAACTAAAGATTGCCCTGCCCTGATTCTCTTTGGTATAAGAGGGAGGGAGAGGGAACCAGCAAAGCTTTCAAGATTCTGTTATTATATCTACAATAATACAGTAGACTTCCAGTGGTTCTTTGGTCTGTTTTCCAACCTGGTCTACCTTGAAGGGCTGACACAACCTATGCCACAGAGTTGTAGAGAAAAATCAGATGAGGTAGCATTTTATATGCCATTCGTCCTCTTTTCTAAGTAATATATCAGCTTTAACACACCCACATTTACCCCAAAAGTGCAAAATTGCCATAGAAAATAATATCTTACTGAATGCTTATATGAGCAGGATTCTGACAGTGTAACACTTTACTGTCATGAAATTAAATTCAACCCATTTTTACTGATTCAAATTAAACAGTTATTCTGTATGCTGGTGTAAGTTCTAGTACTTGACTACAGAAATGCATTCAATTGGAAATAACTCATACATTGTCTGAGAGCTATTAAAATGTTGAAATCTGTTAAAATGTTCTTGCCTTTATATAAAACAAATGCTTTTTTTGATTTGCACTTTATTACAAAGTTCTTTGTATGGTGAATCTAAATACTATGTTTCTAGTGTGGTCCAATTACATTTTGGAGACCCTGGTGTCCCAACCTCACAACCTTAAACATATTTACTTGGAAATTAATCCAGTTTTTTTTTACTTTAAGAATTATAAGCATTTCTTACTACAGAATTCTTCACATCTTTATAACAGGTACTTATTTTATGACAAAGCTTTAAAACCATACAATACTAGTTTTCTATTCACAGTCAATTAGCTGTACCTTTAAAAAAAACACTTTTATAAGACAGCAAAGCCAAGGGGGTAAGTCATTAAAAGAAAAGTACAGATTAGATGAAAATTAAATTTGGCATTTGTTTGTTTTAGAAGTTATCTGAGTGTGTGTGTGTACACATACATACACATATTTGTACGTATGTATATGTATGTATATATACACATACATACACATATTTGTACGTATGTATATGTATGTATATATACACATACATACACATATTTGTACGTATGTATATGTATGTATATATACACATACATACACATATATCTGCATTGCTCTGGGAGCAGAGAACTGAAGAGAGGCACAATCTGATCTCATCTCTCAGCTATGGGCTCAGTGTTCTCCCCAGGAAGAACATTATGGAAAGGAGCAAAACAAAGTAGGCTGTTATATCAGCCACTGATAGTCCAGCTGTTGGGCAATTGCCCCTTTCATTGGCAACAGGTCCAAGGACAACCTCTTGCTTTTCAGTCAGGCGCATTAGCAAGCAGAAACCATTGACAAGAACTGGATAACAACGCCAGCATGAGGAACCATCCCCTCTGTTATCCTTTTGCTGTTGGTTTGTTGGTTTGAGAAAGGGGGCTATTTTTTATTTTTAACAGGTTTGGGTTACTTTGGGGGACAATAACTTTCTGAAAATTAGGATAAAAATGGAGTGCCACCCTATACCTCTTATGTGGGAGTACTTTCAACAAAGGCATTGTACCAATTGAGAAGCAGATCTAAACTTCTGGGATTTGATTTTACCATGTCAGCTGTGTTCATAAGCTTTGTCAATTGATTTGAAGCTCAGCTATGGTGTGTTTGAAATGAGTATGTCTGATATTTGGGGGGGAGAATAATATTGTGGCTCTCTGGGGCTTGGAGATTATCTGTTTCCCCATTTGTTAATGTCTGCCTCCGAGCTCCGAGCAAAAGACTTCAGGTCTTTTGAGGAGAAAAGTGGCTTGACCCTTTTCAGTTCTGCTCTTCCAAACTGTTGGAATTAGTTTGAATATGACCAACAAACACACACAAGAAATCAGGATGTGGATGAGGGCATGTAAGCAATGCCTTTTGTGTAGAATTGGAGTAATTCCCACTGAACACAGTAGGAGTTTGTTTTTTAATAGGCACAGTCCAAAACATAGTTACAAGAGTCTCTCAAATCAAGCTTGACTCACAGTGATTGCACTCAACATGTCCATGCTGTTTTCTTGGTACCAGTACCGAAGAAGTTTGCCATTGCCTTCTTCTGAAATGTTTTCTTCCAAGTTTAGTCTACAGCCTTGAGGTGTTTTTACAGCCTCCCATCAAAGAACAAGTGAGATCCAAACCTGCTTAGCTTCCTCAAGATCAGCTATCTGCTATGACCAACATTCTCATTTTTTTTCCTTAGAAATGTGTTGCATCTAGCAAGGAGCTGATAATTGTACAACTTTATTTCAAACTCAGTTGCTGCTTCAAACCTCATCATTACCTAGGACTCTTCCATTCATTTGAGTGGAATCAGCCACTATTAGAGTCAATTAGATGAATTCTGCATAACAGGAGAAAAATATGGACCATTGCACAATATCTACATATAGCACCCAAAGATTAGTTTTGAAAGCACCCAAAGATTAGAGCTTCTTCCTATGCTCAGTCTTAAGCCTATACTAATACAGACTTTATTGAAGGGTGGTTTTTTTTAAGAAATCAAAGGCTTCTGTGCAATTTTCCAATGTTCTTGTTCTTTGTAATAAAGATATTATCCTGCTCTAGATGTATTTTCCTTGTGGGTCAATAATATGGTTTCCTTTTGTTTTATGAGAATTGGCTGGCTTACAAAATGAGGAGGAGGAAGAGGAGGTTGAAATCATAAGGTATAACTATGACTTGTTTTTTTCTGACATGCAATATAGCTGATATACAAAACATGTGATATGCAAACAAGAAGATCCAGATAAGTGTGAGACGGTGTTGTGGAATGTTATCTATGAAAAGTTATTAGTGAACTGAATGAGATTTCATAGTTAAATTTTAGCTCAGGAAAGGTCAAATATAGTTACTGTAGACAACCTTTCATAACATTGGGACTGTTAAAGCGATAGCTTTTCCAGCTGTGGAAGCTGGACTCTGAGAAAGAGTGAGAGAAAGAAAATAGACACTTTCAAATTATGGATTTGGAAGCAGTGTACCATAGACTACAAGAAAAACCAATCAGCCCTGGATCATTGCTCCTTTGTAGCAGTTATCAGCAAACAGAAACTTACATACTTTGGGCATGTGATATGAATAGAACACAGATTAGGAAAAAAATAATTGCACTTGGCAAGACTGAGAGAAGTACTGTACAGGAAGGTGAAGGCAATAGCTAGCAGATAGAGGGGATCAAATGGAAAATCTATGAATTTCTACCTAAACCGGGCCGGAATGTATGTGTCAAATCACCATGTGTCAAACCTGACTCAGTGCAGCCTAATTAAGAAGGCAGCACTTCTGATTCAGTCTCATAAAAATGTTTCAGGAAGGAAAGCGAGCATAGTGCTTTTCTGCCTTCTGTAGCAGCATACTCCGGACTTTAAAAGACCACTAAAACATGGTTCTTCCCCAAGGCCTTGGGTTAGTGTGGTTGGGGGCCAGGGGGGCTGTTTATTTGTTTTTATCTCTGCTGGTGGGGGAGAGTATTTGCTTGCTGTTCTTTCCAGGTGGCACTATCTATTGGGCTTTATTGTTTATTTTATTGGTCTTTTTTATATGTATAGTTTTTATTAAAGAGGTTTTCAACAGAATAAAACAGTACAAATTTTAAGTTGAAAGTAAGAAGAATAAAGAAAAGTAAAAAATAAGAGAAAAGTAGAAAAGAAAGACAAAAAGTTACAAAGAAGTGGCTTCCAATCTTTTTAACAGCAGTTATAAATGCATTTATATTTTATTTTCTCTCTAAGATGACATAATTTCTTCCTTTCCATAATCTACCCTTTCTAATAATCAAATCCCCAAATCACAAGTTCATTTTTTTCTTTTTTCAGCAAAAAGTCCATAAGGGGGTTTATTTACTGGTTTTGTATGTCAAGTTGCCCAGAGTGGTTGAGTAACCTAGAAAATTGATTAACAAATACATTTAAAAAAAAAAATTGGGTGAATTGTACTTTCAGTCTTTTTTGCAGCTTCTATCATGCATATTTGAAAAGTCCACATACTATAACTCCACACATAGCAGCACTGATAATAACAGTATGCTACTAAAGTTAAAGATAAAATTATTATGAATCAACACGGTTATTCATGCATTAAAAAGAAATTTATAGCTCATACATTCGAACACTAAATATTATAAATGAACTTTTTTCCTCCTCTCTGTGTAAAG